TTATTTTATATTATTTTTGCATTATTATATATGATATTTTGAATACTTCATTAAGTGCACTTAATTAGAATCTGTATAATTAATAACGTAATCAAAGCACATTAAATCATTTCAAATATTCGCTAAAAATCCGAAACTATTTCAAACAAAAAATTATTTAAATCTTGAAAATGTAATATACTTGAAAGTCTTAAATATTTCAAAAATATTTAAATTAGAGCTATATATTTTTAAGGAAAAACATAAATATATATTTTATATACATAGTATATATAATTTGTAAGAAAAATACTTAAATATATTTAATATTAATACGGCTATCAAAACTTTTAAAGCTTTTTACTTTCATGAATTTTTGGTTTCAAATAATATTAAGAGTCATTTAAATAACCATATTATTGAATTATTTGATACGTTTTAATAAAAGAATTTAAAAGGAGACCAATCTCACTATTTATAATATACTATAGTATTATAAAACACTTATATAAAAATTGTACAATCAATATATTGCATTTATTTATTAGTCAAAGTTACAGTATTGTCGAAATTGTGCTCCAAGATTGATTAGTTTCCATCAGTTTCCACTTGGAAAGACATTGACTCGGTGATGTGCGGTCACGAAGAACAATAATGTTTTAAATCAAGATCGCATGGATGACATCGCAGATGTTTGGACGAATGACAGACAGTGAATCGCGACAGGTGCAGAACGAGATGATTCAATAGTTCTCGCAATATTTTTAGATCATTCCAAAGTTAAGAAGATAAGCTTCCTGAAAAAGAGTGTCGTAACCGAAATTTTTGACGCTAATTTTTTTATTTTGAACTGATTATTTAGTACGACCGTTGAATTCTTTTCTAAATAATTCAAGCGATAATTTATCACATGGTGATTATTATGTAATTGATCATCCCCGTTTATTACTCAAACTTAATTAATTGGTCAAAAATATATAATATATATATTTAAAAAAATATATTTTCTCATATGTATTGTAATTACAGCATATATAATATTTAAATAGCATGATAATATATGTATAATTATCATATATGTATAAATAATATCATTGTACATTTATGTTATACCAAACATAGACTATATAAATTATATATGAATTATATATCATATGTATATTATATATGAATTATAGTAAAAATATAATTTTAATTATAATGTGTCTATTATAATTGAAAAGACATTGGAGAAGCTATAACTGCTACAAGCGTTTGACTATACGAGTGCGGATAACGAAAGTTACATCAAGTAAAGATGCAAAAAAAAATTATTTTCTCTTTTTATTAAACTTGTTTCCGCCACTAAATCTAGTGGGCAATCTTTTGTTATGTCTACAACGAAAAATGCAAATAATGAAAAATAATAATCACATCAAAACAGGCAAAATCATCGATAGTTGATAAAACTGATTGTGAGTTCAATATTTTACCAACTACTGATAACGCGTATTTCTGTATATATACATTTCAATGTATATTTTATAATATATATTTAGTATATTTTAGATAATAAAAATATTTATAATTTTTTAAATTTTAAATAACAAAACACTAAAATAAGAAATAACTATTTGTTAAAATCTTTATTATATATTTGTGTTATAAATAAATACATTTAAATTTAAAATTAACTGTTAATAACTGTTTTTTAAATAATTCATAACTATCATATAAACAGTTATAAATTATTTTAAAAATCAATTACTGTAATAATTGAATTTATGTGAAATTGACTCATTTCTATGAATAAAATTATATATCACATAAATATATTAAATATATTAAATAAATAGATTTACCTACAAATTTTAAGAAGCATTAACTTTGGCAGAATTTAATGTACTTCTCGTTAGATGTCATCAATGTGCATCAAGTAATAATTTAATCGATAAATGTTACAGTTGATAATGTAAGTAGCTGTACATATTAAAAAAATATCCTATAATAAAACACAATTTTCAAACATTTTTTCATTATATACATATATTTCCTCACAATCTTATTATATTATATAATTTTATATAAGTTAAAATTAACTTATTACGAATTGATTTTGAATTAATTTAACTCGTTTCATAATAATACATTCTATAGATTTCTCAATCTCATTTATAATAATTTTTACAGAAAACGCGTGTATCTTATTAGAGATGTCTTTATCTTTTGTAAAAAATAATTTTACACAGGTAACTATTATTGCAATCTATGTGATATGCATAAGTAAAAACTTACAAAACAATTTCAATTAATAATAAGCTTAAACTATTTTTTACAACCAAGCTAAATGTGTCAATTAGCTTATCACAATTGCTTATCGCAAAGTATATACAGGGTGTCTCACATCCACCGAATTTTTTTAAATAACGTATTTTTGAGATAATTTTATGATGAAAATCTTAATATAAAAATGACAAGACTATAATAATATTTAAATTAATCGCAATTAAATTTCGCTAATCACAGAGCGGTCATTTCACGCGCTCAGGCATGATGACATGAGTTGGAGTGTATAGGCAGGGGCGTACAAAGATAGTTAAGGCCTCTTTCACCAACTTATGGTTAAATTAATCAACAACGATACAAAATTCTTAGAAATGCCAAATGGGCTTTTATGTATTAGAATATTTTCTTTCTGTTTCTAAGATAAATTGTGTTTAAATTTTCTCGTTGACAATCGTGATGATTAAATTGACCATCGATTAGTATTAGTCGAAATTGGTGAAATAAGTCACTTAATTGTGTGCAAAAATAATTTTACGTCCTCAAAAGTGTGTATACTTATAATTATTTGTACGTAGGAATCCACTGAAAAAAGAAAACAAGTAGAATGTGAAAATCGTACTTCATCTTTTTCTAATTTTAATTCTTAAAATTAGGAAAAGAATTTTAGAATTAGAAATAACTTAAATAGGAGAGCAAATAACATAATATTATCCAAGCCTAATCGGTTCAAATCCACCACGGTCGAAAACGCTAGGGGTGTAGACACAATAGAGGGAATAAGGAATTTCAACCTATCAGAAATTGGATACATCGAAATATATAGTTTCTAATAAAATTGAAATTCCTTATTCCTTATACACACAATTTCTTGTTTCTTTTATTGTGTCTGCACCCTTATTGACAGAAATGGACATGCGCGCTACGTACGGGTTGTACACTTGCTAGGTACGCCCCTAAGCGTATGGGTAGTAACTGTCAATGGACGATCACTCGGCCAATCGCAGGCGTACCGCGAGTGTGAAGCCTATGGCACATACAAAAACGTAAGGCCGTAAAACGTAATCAGTAAGCGAATTCGCCAATCACAGTAGAGACCGTAAGGCCGGTAGCGAATCCAATGTTACGATTTCCTTAGGCCCGATTGCACCAACACTTTTTGATTTTAAGCGAGACTTAAAACTCTATCTATCTCGTTTTAAAACCGAAAGGGAGACAGAGACAGCTTAAGTTTCGCTTAAAATCAAAATCACGTTGGTGCAATCAGGCCTTACTGATTACGTCTTACGGCCTTACTTTTTTCTATGTGTTTCTAGCTTTTGACCCGACAACGTCGTCCGCTGGGTCGCCAAATGAACTCGACTGACTCGACACGACACTACGACAGTTGTTGCTCGGCTGCACTCGGCTGTTTCTTTCGTACTCGGTAGCAGATTTGTGTCTGACAATAGTGTGGATCAGACTGCCGTGTGATCGTTCACGAGGGCCCGTTCGGGGCCGACAAGAAGACGACTCTCGTCAAGATCCCTTCATATATATATTTAAAATATCCACGATGACACATTTAGTAACGTCGTCGACAACGAGCGTTTCTAGAATAAATGCGGCAGCGGTAATCACGACCGAAACGGCAACATTACAACAGCGTGCTCGTTTACCACGATAGCGCATTGCTGCAGTGATGCGATTTCTAAGGCCGGAATCAGACTACGCATTGAAGATTGAAATTAAAGATTGAAAAATTGAAATTTGGCCAATCAAAATAATAGGAGCTAAGATTCCATTATTCTCGTTGGTCAAATTTCAATTTTTTAATCTTCAATCTTAATCATCAATGCGTAGTCTATTCCGGCCTTAACTCGCTTGCAGCCCTCGATGAGATTTTGATAATAACATCGCGCGTCGCGTCGACAAACCGAGATTCTTGAGAAAATAAGCGAAAACGCGAGAACGATCATCATGTAGATTGCATATACCGCATTTGTAAACGTCAAACGTAATTATCCGATGTGACAATAAATAAAATGCGTAGATAGTATCATTGATGAAAGCTTTTATAATATGATATGTAATTTTACAATAATTTTTTATTTACTTATTAAATAATTTTAATTATATATATAAATTTTAATATTAAAAATTATTATAATATATATGTATATATATAATTACATATAAAATATATATATATATATCTACAATATCCTCTATGATACACGCCGATCGCCCGAGAAAACATTTCGTTCGCTTGATGCGTGCAGCCGTAATCACACTACAGGCTCCCGACTCTGACTCCTGACTATAATTGAACCAATCACAGCAAGGCAACAGCCGATTCTGATTACCGATTCGAGAATAGAAACTCTATTCGATCTGAGTCGGGAGTCTGTAGTGTGATTACGGCTTTAAAAACCTACGAGCCTACGACACAACAGCGAGTCAAGCGAGAAGGATTCTCTCTCTCAGACTCTCTCTCGCTATCTCTTTCGTTCTCAGCGCGCTGAAGGCGAACAAGGAGAGTACTTCGTGCGATAAGGACAGAGCGATAGTCGGCACGTTCTGCTAGCAAATCACATGTACACGAGCTTGCGCTTGTGTGTGTGTGTGTGTGTGTGTGTGCTACCGGTTGCGCCAGGCCGCCGACCGATGGCGCTACCATCGAGAGCTGCAAGCGGGTTGGAAATCGCATCACTGGCTACAACGGGAAAAGGAGAGAGAGAGAGAGAGAGAAAGTGCGTATGATGTGTGCGTGTGTGTGTATGTATGTGTATGTGTGGTGTGTGTCGACTGTCGGATTCTCTTTCTCGATGCGGATACGTCGCGTCGTGCACTTTAAACGAGGTATACATATACACGCCCGAGTTCCAGGAAGCGCGTAAAAGAGGAATACTTCGTCGAGCGATGCACGTGAGAAGAAAGGAAGAAGAAGGAGAGAAAACGCGTTGTCGAAGGGAACACAAGTGAATCTGTAATTGACCGTACATATGTATTGGCGCGACGTAGGGAGAGAGAGAGAGAAAGCGTGAGAGAGACAGACAGAGCGCGCGCGAGAAAGAGAGAGAGAGAGAAAGAGAAAAAAAGAGGAGGGGGGGGGGAAAAAGAACAGGTTACAAGGCAAGCGGGCGCCATTCGGAAGTAACAGTGTCAAAGCACTCGTCGCAGGCACCGTTTGCGAGTTCTTTTAGCGGCGCGCACGGCATTCTAGGACGGGTGCGATGGGACGTGCGAGCGCGCATGTCATCGTCAGCAGCGTGCGTCAACGTGTGTGAAGAGAGTGGCCCTGCAGAGCGGTGCGGAGAGTGCGAACGCGAACGGGGGAGAAGTCCAGACGGACGGAGTCCTCGTTTTGTCCGCCCGTTGGGACGTGCGAGCGCTAAACTCGGGGCTCTCTCGCCTACAGTCTCCGTCCAACTAGCCGAGCGTACGGGCGCGCCTTCTCGCACTCGTGCGCCTTCGCTTCGTGGCGTGTGAGCGAGCGCCGAGCCGCCGACCGCTGGCTGCTCGATTCTCCGCCTGCTCGCTATAGCGGAGAGTTTTCACTGCGACACGCGCGTATACATCCCGCGTACGTGTGTGCGAGAGATTCATATACGCTAGAACGTCAAAGAGAGGAGAGAGAGAGAGAGAGAGACACGGACGCGACCGGCCCACCGTATATACGTGCCGGAGGCGAATCGGGGATTCCAAGGGAGAGCGTAAAAAAAAAAGAAAAATCATTCCTATAAATAATGAAGAGATCCGCGGTGGACACGAAGTGATCGGTCGCGAATTTTTCCGTGTTGTACATCTTTACGGGGAAGATAGAGAAGTGGAGAAGGTGGCGGAACGGAAGAAGAAGAAGAGGAGGAGGAGGCAGAGCGAGAGAGACAGACAGATTAGGTTAGGTTGAACTCACGTTCCCCCCCCCGCCTCCCATTCCTCCTCTGCGGCACCAGGGCGCTCCATCTCACTTCGATATGCATGCCCGTTTCCATCTGACTTGTGCACGCCTGAGGGACGAGGTACACGGCATGACAGAGAGAGAAGAGAGGAGACCGAGGAAAGAGGGCGAGGATAGTGCGCGACTGTGGGATCCGAGGAAAAGCGGTAGAAAAATACAAATGCCGATCGCCGATGGAATTTTGGTCGCTGAATCGACTGCGGCAACCCACCACGATTCCTTCCTCAAAGCTGCCATGTTACGCTTCATCGAGAGATTTTCAGGTTAGCGCGAGATTACACGATTGTTACACACGGCTGTCTGGCATTCCGTCGTATCCGTGTATTTATTCGTGAATTTAATAGATTGCGCGATTTCGATCGGAAGCACTCAACAGTGCACATTAATGCTCTTGTACGCGAGTCAATGTATAAAGATGTGTATTTAGATGAACCAGGTACGAGAAATGCCAGTTACGGTCAAAGGTAGTCTCTGTACTCTCTAAAATTTTTTTTTAGAATGAATTGTCACTCTTTTTCAAGATTGGCTCAATTTTCACTTTCACGTAAAGTGAGATTCCACTCTAAAGAAATTTAAAGACATTTTACTTTTGTACATCAAGTTGCCTTTAGCTGAACTTCTTACACGGTTTATCTCTCTTTTCTTTTTTTTCTCCAAAGAATTTAGAGAGTATTTAAATAATTTTTATCCTTATAATATGTGTATAATTCGCACGCTGATTATTTTCGGTCTTGCAACACAAACTGAAATAATAATATATTCGTGTGTTTAATATAAATATATAGAAAAATGGATTAAACCACGAAATACTCGATGCGCTTTATTTGGTAAAATATGCGATGGGCATCTTACTCTCTAAAACTTTTGAAGTCGAAGCTTACGCTGAAAAGTGAAATCTCATTTTTCAAGTTTGGAAATTACTCTTTTTTTTCTAGACTGGCTCAATTTTCACTCTTCAGAGTGAGATTCCATTTCAAAGAAATTCAGATCAGCTATCGTCAAGATATTTTACTTTTAAGTTCGTTCTTTTTAGCTGAACTTCTTGCACAGCTCTTTTCTCTTTTTCTCTGCAGAAAAAGTTCAGTTAAAAAGAATAGGCCTATTCTCGAGATTAGATCAATGTACAATGACTTTAATATGCACTAGTGCACACTAGTGCATGCAACCGAATTCGCTATTACTCGGCACGAAGTCGCATAGTATCGTGTCGCGACAGTTTCGCACGAACGTTTCCATTCTCGAGGGCCCCCCCCTCCCCCCATTCTCTCGACTTCCACCGACACGACGGAGGTGTCGTCTGATCTTACGTGTCTGGAATTTTTGTCCTCGGAATGTTTACAACTTTTTATACACACAAGCCCTTTATCGTTACCCATATAGCACACAACTCGCAGTAACATTAATGCCCGTTTCTACCAACGTAGATTAATCTTTCTCTAATGCCCATTTCTACCAATGTAGTTTAATTTTAATCTTCGGCTATAACAGTTCATCTTTTTCTAGTTCTAAATTAGAAAAAGGCGACGAAGAATAAGTAGAATCGAGATTAAAGTTAATCTACACTTGGTGGAAACGGAAATAGAAAGAGCAAGCTTATTACTACAAAGTTGCAGTATTTCTACAATATTGTTGAAACGTTGCAGATGTTGCTGGAATGGAATGCGCTGTATGGGTACGAAAGATATCTGACCCTTCCCACGTTAAGCGGCATCTACAATGATATTTTAAGGCATAAATCTTAAGCTTAAGCCCTAAGCCGTAAGAAGTTGACCACACAATCGAATCGATCACAATCGATGCGAGGAGAATAATCTACTGTGATCGGCCAACTTCTTACGGTTTAAAGCTTGAGTTTCGCGCTTCCTTAAAATCCCTTTTAAAAAAATTAATGTAAAATTGTAGGCGCCGCTTTGACTCGAATATACGCTTCGAAAGAATCAAATATAATTCAGAGAAGGCATAATAATATGTCGCAAAAGTAGAAAATAAGTGTTTTAAGATAGCACCTCGGCAATCGAAGATTGTCCGAAGGTACGTTGTTGTTATAATCGCAAATGACACGTTCAGAAATACATTCAGATTATTATAATCTCTCAATGAATTTCGTAAATATACGCAAGAACTTATACGATCTACCGCGCGGTGTTAAATGTAAGTGTATGTAGCCAGCGGAGTAGACAGAATAAAAAAGACAAGACGGTAGACGACGACGCTATAGAGACTTATGCGAGACGGTGTGTTCCCATACGTCTAACGATCATTTCTTTTTCTTCGACCTTCCTTACTCCTTGGATATTCGCGATATAACGCGTCATCATCGCGTTTTACCGAGTTTCAGTAAACTGATCTGACATTCTTTAAAACTATCTGTATAATAATAATTGCATGAGATAGTGTTTGTTCATCGCGATGGCGTGACTCATGCTTATCAGAGTTTGTATTTTTTTATATATTATCATTCAGCATAAGAGTCACACCTAAGAGTTATATATAAATTTGTCAGAGTTATTTTTGCTCTTTTTACTTATATTACTTAAGTAATATTATTTTTGTGTCAGTATGTATATAGTATGTAAAAAATATTAATAATTTAAGAGAATATACATATAACATACTGGTCTAAAGCGATCTTTTTTATTTTCTCGAGAATACTTACCGATGTGAATCTTGATGAAGCGATATATACAATTTTGTTTGTACACTTCATCGGTTTATTTATATATTCTGTGTATATTAATGATTGATTTTTTTAAATAAAATTAACTTTTAGTTAAAAAAATTATATATATATATACATATATATTTAACGTAAAGAATTAGACATTAAATAGAAAAATCTAAACACACACACAGAAATATTCAGATTAGTATAAATCAGTGAATGCAGATGTCTGTATAATAAAGTATTCGCAATGTTTAATTTTGTTGTATATGTGAAAAATGGAAATCTTAGATGTATAATAATATTCATATCATTTGGCGTAATATTATTTTAATTTCTGCTAAAGCTTTTTTCAACCAAATGTTAATCGTTAACCGAATGAAGCTATAAACTTTCCAAAAGTAATTCAGTACGAAATTCCAACAGTCAGTGAATAATATCATTTAGTAATTTATAAAAATGATAATGCACATCCCAAAAGATACATACAAAAGACTATGACATATAAGATTAATATCTAAAAACATTAAAAGATAAATGTATTATATTATTTCTTTCTTTGGTCTGGGACTCTATTCTTGAAAAGAAACGTACACGAAAGGGAAATACTATAGTATACGTTACGTATACTATAGCCAAAAGTGTCGTTATAATATACAATGTTAGTAAATAAAAATTGTCATTTAGTTAAAATTATGTAGTTTAATTAGAAACAAAGAAATATACGACAAAAAACAACAGACCTCTAGTAGATCATTATCAATGTTACAGAATGATCGCAAGTTGTTAACAAGAATGATGTACGAAATTATAAAATTATGAAAAAATATATATATATAATAATATGTGTACACTCTCACTCGCATAGTTGACATTGTATTTATTTCGGTACATTAGTAAAAGTCCATAAATCAATGTAAATCGTCTGGTTATAAATGTAGTGTGTAAAAGTGTCTAATAATTGTTTCTTATAAAATTGTATCAATGTACGATTTATAAAATTGTTAGAACAATGCGATGAGAGCCAAAGTTCTTACACTTAGAAGTTTAGAAATAATATGTTGATTTAAATTTCACTAAACTTTTGATGAAATGTGCATATCCAGCATAAATAAATGTGTATATTACTTTTATGATGTAACAATGTTTTTCATCACTTGATTAGAGTCTCATTAAAAAAATTTTTTTTTTTAATTAAAAATATGAATCTTGATCACTGTGACAGTATAATTAATTTGCACATGGACATAGATAACAATTTTATAATTTAATAATTTTGAACGTTTTATTTAACATTATACCGAAAAATTTTAAAAATAATAGAATTTTGAAACATTCAAAAGTTTCGCAAATTATTTCAAGACTAAAAATTATTTACTTAAAATATTATGTTCAAAGAAATTTGAATTTGTATATAAAAATTCTTTGAAAATATATTTCAAAAAAGGGGTGGTCAACATTTTTTAATAGAAGTTTTAATTTGTTCGAAAGATAACAGGTAACGATAATTGTTGTGTTAATGTATTATAACATAATTGTTGTTGTTAATGTATAACAGTTTTACATTATCTAATATTTAATCAGAAATCTACATTGTTATATCTGCACAGATAAGGAATCCAATCTGCACAATGTCACCCAACAAGATGTAGATTTCTGATTAAACGTTAGATAATGTAAAAGTGTTATGTTAACACAACAATAAATATATTTGCCTATTATCCTTTAAGAAAATTAAAACGTCTAAAATAGTTAAAAAACGTTAACTTTTTTTTTTCAAAAAAATTATACAAAAATTAAATTTTTTCGAACATAATTTAAAAAAAACAATTTTAATTCTTGAAACAAAGCAAAACTTAATAATGTCTCAAAATTTTATTATTTTTAGAAACGTTTGGTATAATGATAAAGAAAATGTTCAAAATTATTAAATTTGAAAATTGTTATCAACGCCATGTACAGAATAGAGAATAAACTAAAATAATAATGTTAAAATATTTCAAGATTTAGAAAATGATTGGATACCTCTTATTCATCATTAAAATCTTAGTTTATTTCTTGTTTAATGTTTATGCCTTGTTCGCTCTCTTTATATTATTTTCAAGTTTCAATATGAATATTTGGTATACTCTCTCTCTCTTCTCTTATCTCATATTATTACTATGAATTTTTATTTTTATTTTTTTTTAATATTCTTATTTTCTCTTTGATTTAAATTTGGATAAACTTAAATTTGCCCTTTAAATAATATTCAAATATTTAAAGTAAAATTGTAATCCAAACTTATACGAGAATATTTATCAACTTAATGAAATATTTTGAAAGTTTTACTTTTTATCAATTTTTATTCATTGTACGTGCAATGTAATTAATAATACTATTAAAAAGAAAATACATATTTAAATATATACGTATAAATATCTATGCTGAATTTATGAAAATTTGCCGCATATATTTTCACTCTAATGTGATAAAGTTGCGTTACGAATTTCTACGAACTATGCTTGTTTTTGTATTGGTATATATAATAGTGCCAAAGTTGATAAATCATAGAGATGTTCAATATTGTATATTAATTACATATTTAAAATATTTGTAAAT